AACAGAACAGAAGTCTCAGCTTTGGGCACAGTGCTGCCAATACTAGAGCCCTGACAGCCTTTGCCCTGGCTTATGGGATGAGGGTTCCACGCTGAGGGTGGTAGGGGGCGGGGAAGGGCAAGCCAAGGAAACCTTGGATTGCTGTCCACCCCCCACTCCCCACCAAACACTCAGCTAATAAAGTAGGGCTGTCACTTAGAGGCAAGCCCCATCAGAGCTCTGGGGAAGAAGCAGGACAGATAACTGAAAGCCTCACATCTCTCCTCAAACAAAAGGACTTCATTTGCAACAGAGTGTAGAGAAGTTCAAGCCTAAGGGCACTCTCAAAAACACTGGAAGTTGTGGTAAAAGGCAATTGGGAAGAAACTTGACAGACTCAGTGGAGATACCAATGCATCTGTAGGCCTACTAGTCTGACAGAAACAAGGAATGAAGGCTGGGAGAAGGGAACCCTCCCTGAGGTGAGAACAAATCTCAAACACTGATATCAGGAATTATCCCTTCAAAGGAGCCCAAATTTGATTGCATCAATTCGTAGTGCAATTTATGCCTTGGGACATTGCTGAAAACAACACAGCAAACAGCTGGCAATTAGAAGAACTTAACAGTGAAACGAATGTCAAAGAGAGCCCTGCCCAAACCATGCCATCCCAGGGTGTCTGTGAGCATAAGACTGCCTCCTTGAGGAGCAACATCAGATGCTTCACATTTCTCATGGGAGGGAAAGGAAGAATAGATTGACTAAAATTGGCCAGACACATTGGCTGATGCCTGCCTGTAATCCCAGCAATTTGGGAGGCCAAGGCGGGAGGATCACCTGAGTTCAGGAGTTTGAGACCAGCCTGGCCAACATGAGGAAACCCCATCTCCACTAAAAACACAAAAATTATCCAGGCATGGTAGAGAGCACCTGTAATCCCAGCTACTCAGGAGGCTGAAGCAGGAGAACTGCTTAAAACTGGGAGGTGAAGGTTGCAGTGAGCCAAGATCGTGCCACTGCACTCCAGCCTGGGTGACAGAGTGAGACTCAGTTTCAAAAACATAAATAAATAAAATAAGCCAGTCACCAAACAAGTAAACAAGCAAATAATAAATGGGGGCTGGGGAGAGTACCCAAAATTGCTGTATCATCTAAAATGTCTAGTTTCCAACAAAAAATTGTAAGACATGCAAAGAAACAGGAAAGAATGATCCATATGCTAGAAAAAAACATAAGCAACAGAAACTGCCTATGAGAGCAACCAGATGTCGGATTAACAGACTTGAAAGTAGCCATTATATGTTCCAAAACCAAAAGGAAACCAAAAAGTAAAGGAAGATATGATGACAATGTTGCATCAAATAGAGAATATCAGTAAAGAGAGAAATATTTAAAAGGAACCAAATGGAAGTTCTCAAATTGAAAAGCACAAAGCTGATCAGCTAACTTGGGAAAAGGAATGAAATAACAAAAATGGGGAAAAAATTTTAAGAAAAATTATTTAATTTTTTTAAAAAGTGGCTGGGCACAGTGGCTCACGCTTATAATCCCAGCACTTTGGGAGGCCGAGGTGGGCAGACTACCTGAGGTCAGGAATTTGAGACCAGCCTGGCCAACAGGGTGAAACTCCGTCTCTACGAAAAATACAAAAATTAGTTGAACATGGTAGCACACGCCTGTAGTTCCAGCTACTCAGGAGGCTGAGGCAGGAGAATTGCTTGAACCTGACAGGTGGAGGTGAAGTAAGCAGAGATTGTGCCACTGCACTCCAGCCTGGGTGACAAAGCAAGACTCTGTCTAAAAGAGAAAAAAAAAAAAAGTACAAAGCTGAAATGTAAACTTCACTAGAGAGGCTCAACAGGAGAGAAAAAGAATGAAGAAATATGAACAGAGCCTCAGAGAAATATGCGGCACTGTTAAATGCACCAACATAAGCATAACAGGAGTACCAAAAGGAGAGAAGTGAAAGGGGCAGAATAAAATATGTGAAGATATGTAATGGCCAAAATTTTGAAAAATTTATTGAAAAATATTAATCTACATATCCAGTAAGCTCAATGAACTACAAGAAAGATAAACAAAAAGAAATCTACAAACAGACACAACATATTAAAAATGCTGAAAGCCAAAGACGAGAAGATTTAAAACCAATAAGACAGGCCAATCACAGTGGCTTGCACCTGTAATCTCAGCACTTTGGGAGCCCAAGAAAGATGGATGGCTTGAGGTCAGGAGTTCAAGACCAGCCTGGGCAACACAGTGAGACTCTGTCTCAACAAATTTTTTTTTTTTTAATGAGGTGGGCATAGTGGTGTGCATCTGTAGATTCAGCTACTCAGGAGGCTAAGGCAGAGGATTACTTGAGCCCAGGAGTTCAGGGCTGCAGTGAACTCTGCACTATAGCCTAGGCAACAGAGAAAAACCCTCTCCTAAAAAAAATTAAATTAAAATTAAAAGCAATAAAACAAAAATGATTCAACACTTACAAGGAAATCTCAGTAAGATTTACAGTATTTCTCATTAAAACAATACAGTATGATTCAATTTTGTAGAAATATTAGTGTATATACATATAAATACACATCTATGTTGAAAGAAAGGTTGAGAGAGATATATTTCAAATTTTAAAGTAATTTCATTCTTTAAATAATGGAAATAAAGACTTCAAACCACATTAGAAAACCTTTACACCACAATGCTAAATGAATATAACCAAGTCATAAAGCATTATATCGCCTGTGTCCCAAAATTAGAACATTAACAATGCTGGAAGGAAAAATGTGCTACTTTTATAATCAATAAAAAACTGCTTTAAGTTAAAAAGTAGATACGTAATTTAACATTTAAAACAAATAGCCCCGTGCTACACTCTGCACAAAGGCTAACCCAGCCTGTTATAATATAACTTATAAAGATTTGCAGAATCTATAAGAATGCCTACAAGAAATTACAGGGTAAATTAAAATCTGCAAATTTTATTTAAAGCAATCAATGCTAGTCATACTTGGAGATTTTTCACGTATGTATTTGCTGTATCCCTGGCCCAATCCACATGGTTAAAAGGCTCTAAAAACTTGGTCCCCAACAACCATGGACAAAAATGGAAAAGTGATTTTTTTTTCAACCTTACTCACAGAATTTAACTCTAAATAGTATACAGAATAGAGAGGTGGCCAAGAATGGGAGAAAATTTAGTACCTCCTCTTGGTTTCTGTTTACTGTCCCAGGCAGCTCATACCCTCAACATAAGTTAACTATTCTAGGCTAGCAACTGGCCAGCTCTGCCAACATACATCCTCAGGCATGAAAAAAATCTTCCATCCCAGAATCTGGCACTTCAAAGCCATTAATTCCAACATACTGCTAGTCATCAGGTGAAGAAGCACCAGCAGGCCAACCTGGGGTCCACAAAGGGGCACTGTGTAGGACAGGGAGGTTATTCCAGGGCCAGTCCAGATTTGCCCTTTACTGACTTTATCTTGGATTCTGAGTTACTGGGACATCAATCATGGACTTAACCAAAAGGAAAAAAGGGGAAAGTGAAGAAAATCCTGGGTCAAATACAATGTGCAATATATATTCATTTACTTTTTAAATAAAGATTTCTGTGAGGGCCTAAATTTGGTTCTAGGCTCATTAATTCCCTCTTTGTTCAGCCAAGTATTCTGTTTCACAGCCAGTGCCTGCCCAATACCAATCAAGGAAAGTAACTAATTAGCAGTCATACAAAAGACATATAATCTTGTGTGTCCTAAAATCATGACTCCAAAATAGCTACAACAAATGAAGCTCTCATATGACAACAGAACAAACTCAACATACTGGATAAACTGGGCATTACTTCTGCCACAGCTTAATTTTTTAAAATATGGTTTTCTCTAACTATTCTGAAATGGTTAGGGAAAAAAAATACAAGATGTTTTCAGAGAAATAAAGAAGGTAAAGAATTCTAGCAAAATGAGAATTGGACAATTCCAATTATTATTCACCCAACAGGGTTAATAAATCATGCCGTTTTTATTGGTCCTAAGGATGCCTAGACTAATTACTGAACTGTGAATGGCAACAACCACACTGTGACATTGTGAAATAATATATTTGGTCTTCATCCCTGTTTCCAACAATGAGTTGACTGATGGCTGTCACCAGAAAGACCAAGACAGGATTAGAGGATTGGGACTTTCAGCTCTACCCCCCAACCTCAGGGGAGGGGAGAAGGGCTGAGGGTTGAGTTGATAAGCAATGGCCAATGATGTAATCAATCATGCCTATGTAATGAAGCCTCCAAACAAACCCAAAAGGACAGAGTCTGGAGAACTTGTGGGCAGCCAAATACATGGGGCCTCCAAAAAGGTGAACAAGAACACACCCACTTGCTCGGAGGGTGGCATATCCCAACTTCAATGGGACATAAGTGCCTGTACTCAGGACCCTTCCAGACTTCACCCTACGTATCTCTTCATGTGGCTGTTAATTTGCATCTTTTAAAATGTCCTTTATAATAAACCAGTAAATGTGAGTAGGTGTTCCCTTGAGTTCTGTGAGCCCTCTAGCAAATGAATGGAACCCAAGGAGAAGGCAGTGGAACCCAGCTCTTTGGTCAGAAACACAGGAAAACAACCTGAGGCTTACAGACAGCATCAAAACTGGGGTTCTGCCTTGTGGGACTGTCCTCAACCTGTGAGATCTGGAGCTATCTCCAGATAGACAGTATTAGAATTAACTGAATTAGAGGACAACCTGCTATCCACTGCAGGATTGCCTGCTTGCTGGTGGTTGGGAGGATGGGGGGAAGAAAACACCTATCTGGTCACAGAAGTATTCTGTGTTGATTGTTAAGTGAAAAAAACACTTTGCTTTTTATTCCTATATCCACACATACCTTGCTTCTTCCAATTGTTTCTCTCTTGCTTTCCTCTTGGCCTTCTTTCCCTGAGTATTAGCCAAGCGAGCTCTGGCTTCAGAAAGCATCTCAAGTTCATCTGCAAAAATTAAAAGAAGAAAAACTGAGGCCGCCATCATGAACGACACAGTAACTATCCACACTAGAAAGTTCATGACCAACTGACTACTTCAGAGGAAACAAATGGTCATTGTCCTTTACCCCGGGAAGGCAACAGTGCCTAAGACAGAAATTTGGGAAAAACTAGCCAAAATGTACAAGACCACGCCGGATGTCATCTTTGTATTTGGATTCAGAACTCATTTTGGTGGTGGCAAGACAACTGGCTTTGGCATGATTTATGATTCCCTGGATTATGCAAAGAAAAATGAACCCAAACATAGACTTGCAAGACATGGCCTGTATGAGAAGAAAAAGACCTCAAGAAAGCAACGAAAGGAATGCAAGAACAGAATGAAGAAAGTCAGGGGGACCGCAAAGGCCAATGTTGGTGCTGGCAAAAAGTGACCTGGAGATTGGATCACAGCCAAAGGGGTACTGCAATGATGTTACCTGTGGCTGTTGTGGATTTTTCACAAGCAGTTTAATAAACGAAAAACTTTTGGGTGGAGAAAAAAAAAAAAGAAGAAGAAAAACTAAGTTTTTCTTAGTTCTTACATACCTTAGAAGCCAGGTATCACGTAAGAGACACTCTATTACTCAAAATGAGAAAAAAACATAAATATACTCATGATGTAGCATAATGGAAACAGCTTGAGTTTTGAAATCAAAGAATCTAGGTTAAAAATCAGGCCCACCACTTGCTAGCTATGTGACCTTATAGTCACTTACTCACCCTCCCTAAGTATATTTTCCTATAAAATTGGAATACAATTCCTACTTCACAAGAATGTTGAGAAGAGCTAAGTAAAATGAAATATGTAAAGCATCCTATTCATCAAACAGTGGCTACAATTATTATATCCTTCATTATTATCAACTAACTGACACAGCACAAATTGTGAAATATGGTAAAAACTATTTAATTATGAGAGAACTGCTATCATTAGATGCTTTTTTTTCCCTCAGAACAATTTCTCTCCTCCAATACATTTTTCATGGCTCTGTAGAATGGAAATAATACATGCCACTACTGATGCCTTAGAACAATTCCTATGCAAGACTGTCCAACTAAATCACATGGGAATTTGTAAAATACTCAAATTTCAAGACCACTGCTCTTCCCTTGCCCCTCACACCACCCCAGATGTACTGACTCAGTATATACAGGGGAAGCCCTGATATTTCTATTTTTAAATGCACCCCCTGTGATAATGATGCAGCCAGCCTAGCCACAGCCTGCCTTTGGGAACCACTACATTCAAACTTTTACATTTTAGAAACTCAACAAATATTCACTGAGTGCGTCACAACAACCCTGCAGCAGATATTAGTATTCTCCATCTAGCAACAAAGGGAATCACAGTTCAGAGAGATTTTATGACTTGGCTAAGGTCAAACAACTAATAGGTGGCACACACAGGTTGAAAATCCAATTCTTGATTCTTTCTGTTAATACATCATACTTTACATATTTACAGGGTACATGTGAGTGTTTGTTACATGCACAGAATGTGTAATGATCAAGTCAGGGTATCTTGGTATCCATTGCCTTGAGTATTTATTTCAGATCACTCTTCCAGCTACTTTGAAATACATAATACACTGTGGCTAACTATAGTGACCCTATACTGCTACCAAACATTGCAACTTATTTCTTTCCATCTATACTGGTACCCATTAACCAACCCGTCTTCACCCTGATCTCCCACCTACACACTGTTCCCAGCCCCTGGCATCTATCACTCTATTCTCTACCTTCATGAAATCAATGCTTTTAGCTCCCACAGATGAATGAGAATATGCAGCATTTGTCTCTCTGTGCCTGGCTTATTTCACGTAACATAATGACTTCTGGTGCCATCCATGCTGCTGCAAATGATATTTCATTGTTTTTTACGGCCAAATTGTGTCTGTGTGTGTGTGTGTGTGTGTGTGTACATCACTGTTTTTTTGAGACAGGGTCTTGTGTTTGTGTGTGTGTCTGTGTGTGTGTGTGTGTATACATCACTATTTTTTTTTTTTTGAGACAGGGTCTTGCTCTGTTGCCCAGGCTGCAGTGCCGAAGCTTGATCTTGGCTCGCTGCAAACTCAGCCTCCTAGGCTCAAGTGATCCTCCCATCTCAGCCTCCCCAGTAGCTGGATCTACAAGCATGTGCCACCACACCTGGCTAATTTTTTAATTTTTTATAGAGGCAGGGTTTCACCATGTTGGCTAGGCTGGTCTCAAACTCCTGGACTCGAGTGATATGCCCAAAGTGCTGAGATTACAGCCGTGAGCCACCATGCCCAGCCTACATTTTCTTTATCCATTCATCCATTGATGGACACTTAGATTGATTCCATATACTTTCTAGTATAGAACTCCTGATTCAATACCTCACAGAATCACTTGTAAGTCTCCATCACTGTCTCACAGTGTTGCCTTCTCACACAGAATAAATAACTTGCCTATAGTCAAATTAGTAATTAATAGGAGGACTGAGGTCCAATATTCCGACTTGTTGCCTCTCTCCATGGAATAGGAATGAGAAACAGGATCCTCAAGAGCTCGCCTCTAGCCTCTGAAAAATCCACCCAGTAGACACTACTCAACTTTAAAGACAGGGTCTCGTTATGTTGCCCAGGCTGGCCTCCAACTCTTGGGCTCAAGAGATTGTCCCACCTCAATGTGCTTAGCAGCCAGCACTACCGGCACACACCACCACACCCAGTAACACTGTTTAATTAACTGAACTGAAGAAACAGAAGATAAAGGGGTACTATTCAGAAAAAGCAATTACTCTATAACAGAAAACACTGGACACATTTGGAAAGATACTTAGAATAAGAACTGCTAACAGAATTGGGTGCCAGGTATGGTGGCTCACACCTATAATCTCAACTCTTTGGGAGGCAGAGAAGGGAGGATAGCTTAAGCCCAGGAGTTTGAGACCAGCCTGGGTAACACAGGGAGACCCCATCTCTACAGAAAATTAAAAAATTAGCCAGGCATGGTGACACACATCTGCAGTCCCAACTACTCAGGAGGCTGAGGTGGGAAGATCATTTAAGCACAGGAGGTGTGAACACTGCAGTGAACCATGATTGCGCCACTGCATTCCAGCCTGGGTAACAAGAGCAAGGCCTTGTCTCAAAAAAAAAAAAGAGGAAGGGATTCTAAAGTAGAGGAGTTCAGAAAGGAACTAAAAGAGTTAAAAAGAGACCTGAGGAGTTTATAGTTACCAAAGAAATAAATTCCTCAAAGCACACACTTACCCTCATCCATATCAATTGGATCAGGCCGCGCTGGTTTTGTTTCTGGATTTGGATCTATTTCTCCAGGTTTAAGTTTTCGTGGATCATCTGTTGTTTCCTCTTCATTGTCTCGTTGGGCAGCTTTATCCCTAGAAAAAAGCCCATATGAGTTAGTCACACTGTAATACCATTTAGTGTTAAAATTACCAGATTTCCAAGCTCTGGCACTCTTCCCCGCCCCCCAAAAAAAACAATGGATGGGCTTTAACAAAATAAAGCCTTTCTACATCACTTCATTTCAAAGAGATGATATTAAAATTCGCTAATTTCAGTGACTGCTATCACTTTGAAAAAGAACCCAACAGATCCTAATCACAACTGCAGTAAAACCACACAGACTTTAAAAAAAAAAAAAAAAAAAAAAACTATTAGTAAAGAACCAAAATGTTGCAATAGTCAATTCTCAGCAGCATGATTATGGTGGCTTTTATTTGCTCTTTTACTATTTTTTCCCCAGATTTTCTATGATGAACATGCGTGACTTGTATAATTTTTTTCAATTATTAAGAAGTATATAACAGAAGGCATAACTCTGATCAACCATATGAGATTTGGAAAATGCCATCCAATGGCTTCAGCTCTGGCTTTACTCACATCTGTAATTAAAAGTTTAAAGAGAGAAAATACTAAAACTTTACTCAGCCTCTTTTGGAACAGATACATATATTCTACACTGCTTCTGAAGATTCACTTACAGAAGAAATTCATAGTGTTCTAAGCACTGGGCCGCTGTTCTTCCAATGATTGGAGCAATGGTCCTCCACTGAGTTGGCATCAACTTGGCCAAGTGCAAGAGTTTTTCCTCTTCTTCTCTGGACCATTCCGTCTTCTTAATGCTTGGATCTAGCCATTCATACCTATTAAAAAGAGATCATTTTATGTATTAATCAGTTACCTGGCATAAATACCCAATTTGCACAATGGATATACTGACTTCTAGTGTCTGAAAAACAAATGCTCTCATCCTTCAATTACTAAAACTGTTCTTTTTTGACAACAGAATATTTGCTGTGTGGTTACACTCACCCCAGTCAATATTCCCCATTTAATCACAGGTTCTATTTTGTTTTAATTATACAAGATTAGTAATGGTTAAAAATTACTTGACTGAATCATCATATGTCTTCTTTCCCAACTACCATTTGTTTTTATTTTATACTCTTCTAGAAATTGTGAAATATCTGCAGACAATACAACCTCATATTTTTTAGTGTTTCTAGTTTTCATACCATTTTCTCATGCTGTAATTCTCACAACATGGCTTCTTTTTTTTTGGAAGGAGTCTCACTCTGTCACCCAGGTTAAAGTGAAATGGCATAGTCTCAGCTCACTGCAACCCACACTTCCCAGGTTCAAGCAATTCTGCCTCAGCCTCCTGAGTAGCTGGAATTACAGGTGCCCACCACCACCACGCCCAGCTAATTTTTTGTATTTTTAGTAGAGATGGGGTTTTATCATATTGGCCAGGTTGGTCTCGAACTCCTGACCTCGTGATCCGCCCGCCTCTGCCTCCCAAAGTGGTGGGATTACAGGCGTGAGCCACTGCAACCGGCCAGTGTCTTACTTCTTTAAGCATTGGACTTTCACTCAATTCACCATATGCTTTCATTTGATATGCTTTAAAATTTAAGTAAAACTACTATGACATCCCCTCTCTCTTTCCTAATGCCCCAGTGAGCCCACCTTTTCCATACAGTCTACTTAGCTGGATGACAGACAGGCAAACAGAAGTTAAGTCCTACCAAGTATCAGAGCAGGAACTGTAGACACAGAAATCAGAACCAATTCTTCAGCCTAAAAATCATCTTCCTCTTAACAGCCAATTTCTACATTTTTTTTTTTTTTTTTTGAGTAGAGTCTTCCTCTGTTGCTCAGGCTGGAATGCAGTGGCACCATCTCCACTTACTGCAACTTCCACCTCCTGAGTTCAACCAATCCTCCCACCTCAGCCTCCCATGTAGCCACCACACCTAGCTAATCTTTGCATTTTTAGCAGAGGCAGGGTTTTCACCATGTTGGCAGGACTGGTCTCAAACTCCTGACCTCAGGTGATCCCAGCCTTGGCCTCCCAAAGTGCTGGAATTGCAGATGCACCTGGCCAATTTCTACATTCTGATCCTTTCTCCTACCCAGGTAC